GATTATTTACCCTCGTGGATTAAGTGTCTACAGTTGTTATTTATTCTGATAAAGCCCTCCTAAATTTAAGCTAAAGAAAAAAAAATTATCATTTTTCTAATAATTTTTTGAAAGTATTGTAACACATTACACTATTATTGGAAAATTTTATATCTATGGTTAGTAAAAACTTTTAACATATTTGTGATCCTTTTTGCATTGTATTATACTAAATTATTATTTATTCCTAGTTTAAGGATATAATTCATTATTTCATTAAGTCATTTGAAGTTAAATTTATTATTTATTATTTACATATTTTCTTAATTGTAATTTTGATTAGAACGCTATTCACTGATAATTTATTTGGTCCCAGTATTATATAGCTGATTTTGCACCTCCAGTAGATCATCAAGGATCTTTTTTTTTTTTTTTTGGAAAAAGAGGAGGCATATTATTATTATTGTTTTGGTAAAAACTATGTAATGTATTTTATAATTTATAACTTAGTGCTGCACATATATCATAGTTAGGTCCTAGTTTTATTTTGTTATTATGTAAATTGTTGAAATGGAGCTAGTCTTCTTACTGGTCTAGTTAGCAAGTTCTGTTATTGTTGCGGAAATTTCAAGAAGTTCGAGTTACAGAGAAGATTTTGTCAAAAAAATTTCAAAACATTGAAGACTTTGCAAATTTTATTATATATAACTTACATATATTAATATTTTAGCTTAAGTTTTGGTTATTAAGACTTATGAAATATGAGTGCCGATTATACCCTTAATATTGAGATGTGACAAGGAGAAAGAGGATGATCAAGTGACGATGGGCCCTACTTGTTAAAAAGTAACAATGTTTATTTGATATTAATGGGTGGGGGGAAATTGTTTCAAGTTTAAAATATGAGTTCAATGTTCAAATTGCCTCTAGGCCTATAATTTAAGGTTCAAAATACCATTTAACCCTTTATAATTTTGGTGTTGAAACAAAAACATATTTCTTAATTAATTATATATGAAACATCCCAAAATTTATTTTGTTTTGGTCTATCAAACAACTAGACTACCTTTAAAAAAAAAAAAATCTTGACAATACCAAACGAGTTTTCAATATATCATGATAATGAGCACAACCAATCCTATAAAAATGGATTCTTTGTTATGTCATTTTACATTTTAAATTATTTCACTTGTCTGCACGCAAGTTGAATCGTCACCGTTGCAATTAAGCTTATTAATTTCCACATATTACTGATCCCAAAACTCCATTTGTTGGATAGCGTGAGTGAAAATTCCAACTTAGGGTTGCTTTCTCTTTTAAAATTTTGTGTTGACTCAAGACTAATAAAAAAGGTGAAGGATAAGGAAAAGCATAATATAAGAACGTGTCTCAGAATGTTTTAATGTGTTCTTAAAGAAATGTATTTAATTTTTTCGTCGAATGAAGATATGTATATTTAATTAGATGACATTACTTGATTTTTCAAGATCCCTTGAAGCAATATTGCTTGTTGTTTATCATATTGCTTAAAAATCTGATGTTTTGGTGATATTACTCTATAGAATTAATGGGCTGATTGAATTTTTGGACTATTTAAATTAGTTAACCATTTAAACCGTTGTCGGGAGCAAAATGAGATGTGTAAGGCATAAAAGTGGCAGTATTTTCTTGAATTTTTTTCGTCAGAGTGTTAAGAAGTCAATATTTATTATGCATAATTCTCACCAAAAAAAACCTACAAATTAAAGCTGTTGCAAATGACTAAAATAAACGAATTTTCTAAGTACTACATTCTCACTGAAAACATTTGTTAACACATTGGAACAAGAACTTCTTGTTGGATGAATGTGTAAAAAATCTTGAACCCATAACAGAGGCACATGTTGGCAAATGATAGACTGAATGTAAGAATTATTTAATTTTTATTTGACATGAAGTGCAGACGTAAAACATACATATGTTTAGATTTATCCTCATTGATAAAAACCCTAGGCACAACATTTTATTCAGTTACATTTCATAGCCACAAAAACACAATTCGATTTATAACCTATTTGAGAGCTACAGCCTACACTGACTCTCAACTATCTCGCCCCGTCCTTCTGTTCAACCCATCAGAAAAGAGAGTTAGAGGGAGGTGGCGAGCTTGGTGACTAGATAAGAGAGTGGAGGGGGTTTGAACTAACCTCGGCAGCAAAGAGAAACAGAGAGTTGGGAGTAGTCGGGACAACTTCGATCTAAATAGGTTCGGAATCAAAGCAGATCTATATGATTGTATTTTCACACTTTACACTGTAGGTCAACTAATATTTCAATCTTTCTAACATTCATGTCCAATGTTTGCTTAAGTCAACTAATATTTCAATCTTTCTAACATTCATGTCCAATGTTTGCTTACGTGTACCTTTAGTATGAATTGGGAATTTTACACTATTTTCTTGTGTTGATAAGCAAAACTGTACCATAGTGCAGTTTAGGATGTTAGTAGCTTCTTGCATAATACCTTGTTGATATGTTTGTCCTTAACTCATTTACACCTGACACAACATATGGGATCCACAACACTTAATTAACGAATGTTTGGCCTATGATTTATTACAGATTAAGGATTTTTGCATATTTTTTAAGGGATGATAAGCGAAATAGACTATAATATATAGTTTAGGATGCCTGTAGTTCTCCTTAAAATACTTTGAGGTCCTGCTTAGTTATTAGAAAGGAATTGATTGAAAAAATAAGGGTAAAAATGAGATAATTAAAAGAGATGGTAAACCACATACATTTATAAGGGAAAGAGGTAATTTAATTTATGGGATTGAAAATCATAATTCATGAAATTTTTGGAGGATATAATGATTTCCACATTTATAGTATATATTAATAAATTTTATTATACTTACCATGAGGGCAAAGAGTGATTTAATTCATTTTTGTATTGATTTTTTCAATTCATTCCATTCCATTGATTCTATTCCTTAACCCAATAGTTTGTTCTGAAGAAGTATATGCAAACATTGTTAGAAAGATATATTATCTCTTGTCCACAATCAAATAACCCATGTTTAAGTGTCGAAATAATTAATTGTCGCAATTTTATTCCATATAGCGAATGACATTTTTCTATGATTTTTTTTTATATTTCGAGAATAGTCTCATTATTCTTCCTATATATATATATATATATAAAGAATAGTCTCATTATATGTTCTTTTTGGGCCAAAAAAAGAATAAACGAATTATATCATAAAATAAAATATACCTAGTAAAAGATGACCACAACTTAATTCGAAAGGGAAGAAAGATTAATTTTCCACCTCCTGTGATTGCCGTCCGTCACTTTAGAAGAAAATAGCATTACGATACAATCATATATAGTCTGATCAGGAGACTCTTGACTTGGGATTAATATAGGTGATTCCAGGTCAACCAATCAATAGCCAACGTTATCACTCATCAATTTATTCCAAGTCAAGTCAACCAACGTGTACAGTGTATTGGAATAGTCAAAATTCTACTTATCTTATGGGAAAATTTCATTAAGCCCCCGAACAAATTTATTCACAGCCAACCCCTAAATTTCTGAAGAATCAATTTAGTCCCTGTGGGTCTCATATAGGCTAAATTGAAATTAAGTTTTCAAGAGAAATGATACAAATAATCCCAATCCTCTTGAATAAAAGCAATTGACATAGGAAAAATAAATAATTGATGTATAGAAAATTAATAATTAATGTAAAAAAAATTTATAACTCTCATTAACAACATAATACTACTATAACTAAAAAAAAAGTGACTAACATAATATAGCGAATCAAGATTGTCTCACAAAGAAATAATTATAAGGAATTGACACAAACAAAAGTTGTTTTTGTCTCAGTTAAGTTATCCAATCAAAGAATAAAATTTTTATTAAATTAAGAATATCAATAAAATAAAGTAAAGTCAAAGAATATATTTGAGGTAAGATTAGTGATTGAAGAGCACCTTCGGAATTCTAATCCCTTTTTATACTTTGCAATTCAATTTCTTCTAATTATCATGTATTAATTTAATTTCAAAAGAAATTCTCTAATTTAGAGTTATATGTCCATTGATTACAACATCTGTAATTTAACTATATTGCAAAATCCGTCCCGATGATGTGCTCTGATTCAAAATCCCCCTGTGAACGCACACTATATATGTGTGTGTGTATATATGTATAATTTCCACTTCTATATATATATATATATAGTGTTTCCTTCTTTTCTCCCTTTCTCTTTCTTTATTTTGATTTTTTTCACTTTCCTTGAAAATATGAGTATATTTTGTTTTAAAATTTCTTCTTTATCTTATAATTATGTGATAAGCGAAAAAATGTATAAATTAGTTAAAAAGTTTAAAATATTAATAAAAATATATACCTTTTTTAGATCTTATAAATATAATACAATAAATATTAATTAATATACATATGTTTGAGGTGAATGATATTTCTATTAGGTGGCTTAAGTTTACTTGGGTGAAATGAACAATCCGCAACCATATACAATACCAAAAGTGTTGCATGGTTTTAAAGGCCCAAGGTCTAATTAAATTGAATATTATTTTAATTTTATTTGACAATCCTCAAGTATAGAAAATAAAAAAAAATCCAACGGTAAGAAAAAATGTAATAAAAATCTAACAAAAAATTACGCACAAACTTAATTAAGTTTAAATAGAAGATGTATATTGTCGATTGGAATAGTCAGAGTTCTATTTAATTTTATTTATCTTAGAAAAACAAAATCCTATTTTCATTGCGAATCTATACATTTGGGATCAGGCAGATTATCTGGTACTTGCAAATATATCTCGAATACCAACATGCAATTAACTTCACAACTAACTTGCATTAATTAAAACATAAGATGTACGAGTATGAGATATTCTATTCTACTAATTGTCATTTAACATAGCATTATTTTTTATGTATTAATTTATATTTAAAAAGCTAATTCTTAATCGTAAAAAAACATATGTTCTGATAATTCCAAAAGCCAAATAGACATACATAACAGTCCATGCATATGCATGTGTGTGTGGAAGTGTAAAACTGTAGGGTTTACAAATACTTGGGCTCCATCAGCCAAAGTACGTTATTCATGAAATATATGACTACATTTCCAGTAATCCAGCAGATCTTTACTGTTTATTAGCACAGTCAACAGGAGCAAAAGAAACTTTTTTCTGACCAAGATCATGCTCGACTTCAAAATCAACCTGAGCCACGTTTCCATAAATGGACATTCCATTTGAATCAGCGGGAAGCATCGCAAAGCACATAACATCGTTGTTCATGGAAAGAAAAAGGTTCTGAGGTTTTAAGGAAAGGTTGGCTCCCGTAAAATGAACCTCAAAATTTGGGAAATTCTGGATGGAGTTAGCATTTGAGTAACACAATTTGAACTGATTGTTTTGAACTATGAATTGTTCAGCTCCAATGGCTTGCTTCACCAAAGCTTCAACCTGGTCATAAAAGCCTGATGGGAGGATTGTCAATGTCGTCCCAGAATCAATGACTATGTTTCCATTGCTTTGACCTGCAGTCAGCGGCACTGTTTGTTGTCCAACGGTGATACCTGTAGACAAGAATGAAATGAAGAGCCATTTATGATATCACTACATTATTTAATTGTACACATTAAATGAAAACAAGGGAACAATCTTAGTAAAACATATATACCTTCAAGATTGAGGTAGTAATAGGTCGTGGAATCAGATCTGGTGATCAAGGGAGTGGATACAACAGCATTTCCTGATATTGCAGCCTCTTCCCCAAATCTTAGTTTAGTTGTGGTATTTTGTGTGAAAGGAGGCAGACAGTACGAGAATTTGCGACCTACGTTGCCCGTTTGCGAAACTAACGACAAAACCCCTTGACCAAGCCCAACAAGCCCTGCTTCGTTCCTGCTAAAAATTCCAACGTTGTTGTGTCCACATCCAAACACCGTATTAGGAAACGAAACAGCTTGGCCACCGTCGCTTGTTCCAAGACTAATAGACTCAGTGGCCAATTCTCCTATTGTATATGACTTATCTCCATAACTATAATAATACATGCACTCATTCGATGTTAATCCACATTTTGGATACCCCTGGCCTTGCCCGGAGAATAGGGGTAGAGCTTTACAAGGGCCTGAGCTACATGACAGAGACATGTAAGTGGAAGAATTATTTGGATCAAAGAGCGTTGCGTTTTGAGTGTAGCATTGGGGACAAGGTGAGCATTGGAACCAAATAAGGTCGCTTCCTGTGTCTGCAGCTGCCAATCTCTCTACAGGTGGAGTACCAACGAAGATCTTCATGAGGTAGTTTCCACTATTTGGGATTATATCTGTTTCCACTAACTCACAAGTTTCTGCCATAGAAGACTGGCGAAAGCGTTTAGCTCGAGAAATGGAGCGCAACGCAGCGTTTTGGATCAGCTCCGAGTGGGTCATGGAGGAGTTGTAGAAGGGTGATAATAGTGAGTCACGATGAATGAGGTCGATGCTGAAACCTTTAGTGGCAGAACCGATGGAAGAAGTTGAAAGTAGGAAAAGGAGAGCCAAGCAGAGTGAAACAGCTTGCATGATTGAAGAGAGGTAAGAAAACATAATGGTAAAGTAGGAAGAAGGAGCTTGAAGTGGTAGTTCTCTATTTATAGAGGTTTGGGTTACATGGCTACTAGTCAAGATGTTGCACTTACACATATTTTGCTATATGTTCTTTTTCATATCAAAGTTCAGAGCTACGTCCCCTAGAAAATAATTAGGGTTACAGCTTCTATGCGAAGACCACGTGTTTGCGCCGCGCGAAGGAGGGGTGTCCATTATTAGTAGGAAAGTATTATCATTTTTCACTTTATTATTATTATTTTTTTACCTGAATTTTTTGCTTTATTATTTATATCTTCGATTTCTGTATTTCTTTTAAAAAATAAAATTTAAATATCTACTTACAATATAGTAATAAAGTATATATTATAGTTTTAACTATGACTAAAAAATCATAATTAATATTACAAATAATTAAAAAATGAAATTTGACTTACCTAATATAACCAAATTCGGGATGACCGTTATTGTCTGTTTGGTTCAAGTTCAATGGAGGAGAAGGGGAAGGGGAAGATTTTAATGGAGGAGAGGTGACATGAGAGGAAGGAATAGGAGGTATTTATAATGGGGATACGGGAAGGGAGGGATTTTAATAATCCTTCCAAATGCCACCAATTTAGAGGGGAGGGTTAGGGAGGGAAAATTATCCCCTCCATTTTGTTTTAACCAGACAAGAGAAGGGTGGTATATATCTCCCAATGTTTTAAAAAGTTGGACTGAATATTAGACTGGAAAAGTCAGTGGGTTTCCATTTTTATAGTTTAACCAATTAGATCAATAATCAAATAAGTGGTATAATAATTAAATAAAAATAATAATAAATGCGTATGTGTGTGTTTGAAATCAATTTATAGTATATTTAGTTGTTAATAATATAACATAACATGACCATAAAAACCATTCTAGTTTATGACTCCATACTGAGTTTTGGCTCAATGACAAATCAACTCTTGTTTAACCTAACTCAATCATGAAGATGATTTTTTTTTTTAATTCAAACCGAGGTTTTAGCGAGTTTGGTGAACAGTCCAATCATCTGGTCCAGTCATATTCATAAAACAATGGTATTTCCCCTTCATTTTTCCAACTAAACAGAGGGCCCTCCAACTAGGCAAAGAGTCAAGGAAAGTAACTCGATATGCTCTCTTTGGAATTGTAGAGAAGTTACATCCAATAGGATATTTCCATTTAGATTTAATACAGAGAAAAACTTCTTTTAATAATTACCAAAAATACATCGGTTGGATGATCGGTGGAAGAAAGATACATATATCATTGAAAAACGAGGAACAGATATGGTAGATAATGAATGGGGCATCCGGCCAGCATCCATAAAAAAAAAAAAAATCTTTTTTTTTTTTGTTGGAAAAAAAAACATCTTGCTTTTGAGGAATATTAATATACCTTACAAAAATTCCCAAATGAAGAATTAAGAATATGTATAAAAATAACCAGCCACAAGAAAATAAAATTTTTTTGGAATTTTTTTTTCCAACAACTATCTAATATATATACAGCATTATCAGTTTAAATTTATGCATTTATCAGGCCTTAATGGACTTAACATGGCTTTTTTTTATTCCCATGACCACCGTCCGTCACTTTGGAAGAAAATAGAATTACGAGACAATGATATATAGTCTGATCACAACTTCTAATTAATATAGGTGATTCCTGGTCAATCAATCAATAGCATACGTTATCACTAATCAATTTATTCCAAGTCAAGTCAACCAACGTGTACAGTGTATTGGAATGGTCAAAATTCTATTTATCTTATGGGAAATTTGTTGGTGGTAATGGCAGTATAGACGTGAACCACGAGATGCTTGAGTCGTGCTCGAAAAGACACTATTCTTAAAAACTATTCCGGCACACTGGGACGACGAACTGGCAGTTCCCTAGGATTAAACAAGAACTTCCTACTAGAGCAAGGAATTAGAATAGCAATACTAACAGAAAAACTCAGACGTACACCAAAGACAAAAAGAGGAGGAGAAGAATGCCCCAAAAGCTCAAGAGGCTAGCATTGATCCTATCTGCACCCATGGCTATATATAGGCCGAAGGTAGACGTTGGGCTCATAATTCCAGATTAAACCCATTAAGCGTCAGTTACACAGTTGTAAAACACATTTAAGCGTCTATCTAAAAATGTTAGGGCATTTAAGTGTCTGTCTGAAAATGTTGGGGGACAAAACATTTAGGAATTTTAATTATCTATTTAAAGAATTCGATTAAAGGCCAAAATGCTTAATGGTTTGAATTCAAACTACAGATAGCCAAAAAAGGAGGTTTTCCGGCAAGCCCATAATTATTTATTTTTGTAAAAATAATCCAGTAAAAGGAACCCAGTGCCTCTTGAACTCGCACGCAGGGGGCAAATTAGCTAATTTCAACTGTGATTGCCCTGAGTTGGCCTATCTCATGCGCACAAGCCTACTTCTCCTCCAAGCTCATTTTACTAACCCACTTTATTCCTTAGTATTTATACACTAGGAAAGTTCTTCATTTAGGTAATGTGAGACTTTTGAAACACACACACTTTTAACACACACACAACAATCCCCCACATGTATCAAAAGAATCTATGTTTGTTTGAGTTATTTACATGGAGGATAATCACTTCGAATTTGGTATCTATCGACTTAAACCAAACATAGACTAATAAAACTTTGCACATAAAAAAGTCGGTGTAACTTTGTTATTAAACCAATAAATCTTGAGCATGTACTAAAGGTCTTATTAATCAAATTATACCCTACAGTCTCTGTTGTTAACGACAGTTTTGCACGTTATCAGCCATGCGCACGCCTAGTTTTAACAAATGCTCTAGAGATTTAGCCACGATCTCATAGGAGCAGCCCCACTTCATATTTGTGTTGGTATTTTCATCAAGTGTATCTGTAATGAATACACCATCCATAAGGACTATGAAAACATTAAGAGCTTTCGCTCAGCCTTCGTTCAATGCATTCTAATACTTTCCTAGGCCATAGGAAGGGACAAAAATTCAGTGCTAGTAGAACTAACAAGTGACTTGTTCTTACCTATTGAACCTTCTTTATGGGATCTCCAATCACAAAGGTTGGGTTGCCATCACTATTAATTTCAAACAAGCTTAAGTCTCATTCCCCTCGACAATTCAATAATAAATTTCTTCCCTAAGGGCTTAGTTAATGAATTTTCCAGATTTAACTCTGATCTTACATAATCGATTGAGATAACCCCATCTTTGAGCAGCTACCTTATAATATTATGTCTCAATCAAATATGTCTACTTTTGCCATTGAAGGTCTTATTTTTAGCCATTGCTATTGCAGACTGGCTATCACAATATAAAGACACTGATGATATGGGTTTTTCACCTATTGGAATACTCGCTAAGAAGTTTTTCGGCCACTCAATCCCAATTCCAGCCAGCTGCATGGCAATAAACTTAGAATCCCTTGAGGACTTTGTGTTGATTGTCTATTTTACAGACTTTCAGGTTATTGCACCACCACCAAGAGTGAATATATAACGACTAGTAGATTTTGTCTCTTTTGAATCCGAGATCCAGTTAGCATCACTATATCCTTCCAATACAGTGGGAAAATCTACTATACAATATACCATAATTCATGGTACCTCTTAAATATCTCAAGACTCTCACCAAAGCCTCCTAGTGTTTACTGCCTAGATAGTGGGTATATTTCCTCAATCTGCCTACAACATAAGCTATATTAGGCCTAGTAAAATTCATCAAATACAACAGACTTTCAATGATCTGTGCATACTTAGATTGAACAATTGGGTCACCTTTGTGCTTTTTTAATTATATACTCAAATCATAAGGAGTACTTAGAGGAGCATCTTCAAGATGTTCAAACTTTCTAAGAATTTTCTCAACATAATGTTCTTAGGAAAGCAAAATTCTATTTTCATTCCTTATGATTTTTACACCCAAAATTACCTTGACTTCACCCATATCTTTCATATCAAAATTTAAAGAAAGAAAATTTTTTGTTGCATTAACAACACACATGCTAGAGTCAAAAATTAGCATGTTATTCACATACAAGCATATAATCACACAATCATTATTCACAAGCTTTGTATAAACACATCTTTCTACTGCAATAGTAGAAAATCCACTAGTTGTCAAAACTTAATCAAGTTTCTCATGCCATTACTTAGGTGCTTGTTTTAAGCCATATAAAGACTTGATAAGTTTACAAACTTTATTTTTTTTCCTAGGAATTACACATCCCTTAGGCTGTACCATGTAAATTTCTTCTTCCAAATCACCATTTAAAAATACAATTTTAACATCCATTTGGTGAACAAAAAACTTGTAAATTGAAGCCAAAGCAATAAAAACTCTTATAGAAGAAATTCTAGTCATAGGAGAAAATGTGTAAAAATAATCAATATTTTTCTTTTGAGTAAAACTCTTGACCACAAGCCTTACTTTATATTTATTAGTTGAACCATCTGAAAAATATTTTTTCTTAAAAATTCATTTACACCCAATAGCCTTAGCTCCTTGGGGCAAATCTGTTAAAACCCAAGTTTTATTTTTCCTTAAAGAATCAATTTCAATTTCAATTGTTTCTTTTTAAAATTTAGCATCAAGAGAAGAAATAGCTTTATAAAAATTTAACAGTTCATCTTGCACTAAATAAGTGTAAAAATCATCTCCACAACTTGCTTATTTTTTTACCTTTTACTTCTCCTTAAAACTAAATTCTTATTTAAATTTTGTTTAGATTCTGAATTCTCAATAGATTTAGAAACATGCTCAATTTTCAAGGAAAAAATATTTTCAAAAAATTCAACATCCTTAGTCTCTACAATTGTGTTTTAGTCTAAAATATTACTTTTTAAAACTAAAAAGCAATAAGTTGCATTTTGTTCAACATACCCAATAAACGTACAATCAGAAGTTTTAGAACTAGCTTTTTTCTTTTTAGGATCAAGCAATAAAACTTTTAC